GAAGACTGTTGTGAGATATTGAGCTTTTATGCAGGTGCAATGAAGATTCTATAAGGGCACAAAATGCTTTAAGGGGTTTGGGTCTAGCGAGAAATCAGTTTTGATGACATTGGTCCCCAAATTTAGTGGTGTGGTTATTTAAGCCCCTTAAGTATCTGTTCGAAGTTAATGTAACCCGCAGAGTTTTATCTTCAACAATTCTGCTTTTTCGGGTCGATCTAGTTTTGTACCCTGCTCATCTTTTGGTAGATGTAGAGAAGTCGTTTTTTTGTGGGGAGCCGTTCTTGAGAATGTAGTTTGGATAGAAGAGGTATGCGTTCATATTTGAAACAATTCGTGGGAGTTGTCGATCCCTGGTCAGGGTAGTGTATATTAACTGCTAATGTCTTTAGCGTGGTCTAATAGTGAGCGTGGGGTAGGTTGGATGTTAAACTTGGTTTTGCCATGTGTAAGGATCAGTTATTGTTAGTTACATCGGTATGGCCTACTCTTTTTCCTTCAATTAAATCTAGTAAGGTGTTTTAACGATGTGTGTGACTATGTCCTGTTTTATATATATGTTATATTAATAAAATTATATAAAACTTCTTTTTCAAAAAGGAAAAAAGAAAAACGTACAAGATGAGGGTAATCTTGAGAATGAAGTTTTTTTTAGGAAAATATGGTTCATGAAAAATCATTTATGAAAATGGGGCGAATGCTGTAAAACCTGGTAAAATCGCCAACAATTAAGGACATCTTTAGCAAAATCGTAAGCAACTCTCTCTTCCACTCTTTAATAATTTTGAAATCAAAATGTAAAGATATGAAAGTATAGAGACCAAAATAAAATTTTCAAAAATTACTTTTTTGAGTGAAACATTAAGTTTAAAGAAATTAGTGATCTTGGTGTTTGAACTGTAAATATAGTCTAAGACGTGAAAAAGTTATAACTTTGTGTTCGAGAATCCAATTAAAATAAATTTTTCATTTTTATTTTCAAAACCACGTCGGACATCAAATAATCAATGAAAAATGGTAAATGACATCGCACTATCATTCATTTCCTGTGATCATGCCATAAAAACTAAATAAAATTCCATATTTTTATAATTCACCCCAGATAATAAAATGACTATCCCTTGAATTATTTATTGTATGCAAGGCATTCTTTATTCATTGGCATGAATCATGATGCTTGTTTAATTAAATGGGATGATTAGTTATAATAAAGTCACTTTGGTTACTAAGAAGTAGGATTAATGAAGTAGCCCGTCAATTAAATCTCAACCACAAGTACCTGTTAAATATACATTTAAAAACCCTTTAAATTAATATGAGGAAGGGTTTCTTCTCCATCGGATGGCATGTAATTTTTCTTGTAGCTGGTTTGTATCGTGTACGAGTCGGTTGATATCGATATGGTGCATTTTTTCCCTCCACCTAAGTTTAAAGAGATTTTTTTTAACGAGATCTATTTCGATTGTTTTTATTTGTATGCGTTGATATTATACTGCCATGTAAAAATCCGTTTCAAAAAAAAGTTGAATTAGTATTTTCTTCTTATCCAGTTGTGAATTGTAAGTTAGTCAAATTCTAATCATGTTGAAAGGAAGAAACAATTTGTTAGACTAAAGCCTAATGGGATTAGGGATGGCAAAAAAACTCGAATCCGACGGGAAAAATCGAATTAAACGGGTCGGGTTTGGGGATAATAAACGGGGATGGGAAAAAACCATTTATGCTAAACGGGAACGGATTTGGTAATCTCCGACCCGATTATCCGGCCAGATAAATATTAAAAATAATTATTGTTGGGATATCCGTCTTTCTACCCGTTTAAATATATATATACCTGACCTGATACCCGTTTAAATAACCGTTTATGCTAAACAGGGATATCTGTTTCCCCGATTACCCGATGGGATCCCCGTTTAAATCTCCGCGTTTTTTAAACGGGGACGAGTACGAATTTTTTAAACATGGACGGAAATGGGGGACCAATACCCAACCCGAACTCGACCCGTTACCATCGCTAAATGAGATTGTTGGGGATTATATAGTGAAAGAACGGATCGGGACTCCATAATTAATTAATTAATTGGAATATTTTCAATGCCTAATTCCCACTACTTCTTACGACCATGCCCACAACCTTAGTTTTTTTTTATATATTCATTTCCTATTGCAATATTGTTAGATGGTTTTTCTTATAAACATGTCCTTAATATATAAATCTACATTAATTTCCATAATATCACTTGTTCAGCAATTACGTGACAGTATTTTAGTTTTGATTTTCTGAATAAAAGGCACCAAAATTTATGGACTTTGGATTCTTAGAGAAGAAGGTTTTCACTAGTTTTATTTCAGCGTTGACAAATTCTCGGAGTTTCCAAGGTTGCCCAATTCGACGTGTGTATTTGGTCACCGAGAATGAAGTAATATAAGTAGTTTCTGGAGGCCTTATCCGTCTTTCTACCCGTTCACGCGTTTTCGATATACGAGCCTACAGTCTTTTACGTCAATCCCCTTGTTGACGTTATTATAGCTTAAACTCACAGAAAATTAGGGTAACTTATAAATTTTATCACTAAACTTTACCTTCAATCTTAATTTGAGTTTAAAATTTTTCAATTTAATCATTACATTTTATATATTGAATTATTTTAGTCGTCCTGCCATTTTATCAACTATTTTTCAGTGATATGCCATACTTTATTATTATTATTATTATAAGCATCAACTTGAAATTTAGACCAAAAAATAAAAATTGTGACTACTCATTTAAGATTTAAAATCTTTCTTTTTTTAGATTTAAAATTGTAAACTTTAGTATGAACCCCAATTAATTCGGTAATAAAATAATTATTGTTAATTCTTGAAGTCATGGGTTCGAGTACCAAGAATACCAAAGTTACAAACGTTTAATGTCAAAAGGACGTCAATGTCAACTTTAACACCCTTTGTAACATGAAAAAAAAATGAAGGGGTTGTGACCGAAGAAGAAGAAAGGAGCAAGGAAAGGCGAAGAAATATAAAAAAAATACCATTTCAAATTGTAAGTGTGAAAACCCTGAGTGTTGAAATTTGAAATTTATCCAAAAAATTATGTGGCAGAGATGCAATAATAAACAAAGATAAAACCAGTACAAAGCTCATAGAATTGTTTTTGTTAATGATCAAAACATGTAGGATATAACCAAGCTTTTAGTCGCAATTTTAGATGCCAGCATGTTATACTTGGAAAACAAACATGAAATTATTACCTGCACTCGCACACGATGAAATGAATGATATCAAAATTTAAATTTTTTATTTTTGAATTTTAAGTTGGTCAACATTCATGCATACTTACCAATAACTCTTCTATCATAATTCCACCTTTGGTTATAATAAACAACAATGACAAGTAAGTTAACAATTTTTAGTATGTAGTGGTTAAAAGCTCTAAGTTGACATCTTTTTTTCTTCTTAAATTATGAGTTAAATACTCATTAAAAATAAAATTCTCATTTCCTTTCCTCAAATAAGAATCATTCAAAAAAAAAATTGTAAGAAAAACTACAAGTGATAGGAATAATAACATCCTTACATTTTGAGAAGTATCTTGTTAAATTTACGAACTTGTACACTCATATGCTTATGTAAAATTTGGAGTGTTTTGTAATTAAATAAACACCAAATTCACATTTAGAAACGTGAAACGGGTTTCATAAGAAATATTGATACTCATTGGTCATTATCAGTTGTAACTGATGGTGATCGATGTGGTTATTAGAATCTATGTAGATGGAGAAAAAAGAAGACGAAGAGAAAAGGAAAAGAAAGAAGAAAATAGGAAAATGAAGGGGGAAAATAATTTTGTAAGGATTCAGAACAATGTCTTTTTGGTGTAAAATTTATCTTTTCAAAACAACGTCATTTTGATATCGTTTATCATGTCATGATACTGCTAATTATTTATTTGTGGAATGAAAAAAAATCAATGCCTAAAATTTATAGATTAGATTGATTTTTTTTTTAAATAATAATTAAAATAAGAGTGATAGTAGACTCATAGATGAAATTTGTAATTTATCTTTTATTTTAACTAGATTTGTGTATAATTCCATATAAAATTTTGAAATGGATTAAACGATTAAGATTAAAATAATTTTTTTATTAATTAAAATTATTACAAAATAATATCTATTTTAAGTGAAGATTAAGATACATGAAAAGAAATCCCACTAATGGTGCTACAATGGCATGCTATTGGTTTGGACCACACCATAGAAGATAGGAGGAGCACAAATATATATTATATATGAAAATTATATTACGTAAATTTTAATTTGTATAAATTTATTTATTTTAAAATTCAAAATCATATTTAAAGTTATAATTTTAAACATTATAATTTCAGGTTTTAATTTTTAAAGTTTAAATATTAGAATTTTAAATTCTAAGTTTTAAAATTAATATATATTTAAAATATAAGCTTATAATAGCTTACATAAGTCAGACAAGTTGGTATAAACATGCAAACTAAAGATAAATGAAAGAAAAGAAAAAACCCGCAAAAGTAAAGAATAAAGATGGCAGAAGTCTTGGGAAAAAAGTCAGAAGTTTCTCTGTTTATAGAAAGTAAGAACTATGAACACCCAAAAAAGAAAAGCTTTTTGAGTTCAAGGTGAATTTCTCACTACTTTTCTTCTTTTTTTCCCATGCTTTTATTACTTTAGATTCCAGAAGATTTGATTTTCTTTCATTTTGTTCTTGAATATGAAGTCATGGAACATTGATTTGTTCAAGTTGTAGTATATTTTAGCTTTAAACCCTTTTGCAATCCTCCATTATATTTAATTAAACATTTCCTTTTCTATGTCTTGTTTCTTTATTTTATTACAAGTTTGGTTTTGTTTCTTCTTCGTTGGTGGGGTTTGTTATCTTATTCATTCCTAACCTCATAATCTAAAGTTTCCCCCTTTTTTTAATTTTAAAATATGATTAAAGAATAACAAAAAATGAGGTATATTTGCTTTTGGGCTTGTATTTTGATCATTTTAATACAAGGTCAAAGCCTTTAATTTTCTTCTTCTCCCTTGGAACACAATTCCGAGGTTCATCTTTATATGGTGTTATCTGCTCAATTGGTGGATTTGATTGTAGCAATATTGATCTTTGCTGCTTCCTCTTGATGTCTTTCTCATGTAGCAGGTGCAGTGGAAAGCCTTGGAAGCTTTTCATATTCATTGATTTTCTTATTCACTATTAGATGATTCTTCAAATGATATAAATCAGTAACTTGTCTCAAAATTAATTATTTTATGATCCTCTTGACGTGCTTGTTTTTCATGATCCTGTTTGATGCCTGTTGTTCCTAAATTAACAGTCTTATCTTGAAATTTAGTCCTTGTAAGAAATTATTTTGTATATTTGTTTGATAATTTCAGTTTGGGTTCTGTTCCTCTTGGGATTTATGATTTGTCTCAACAGAGTGTTTTATTGCTATGTCTGCAGCTTCATAGCTTATCTACCTTTCTCTGTTATTTATGCATTACTGTTGTTACCAAATCATGGTAAAAAATGTTTTATTATATCCGTTATCTTGCCTCTCGCCATCGTTGTTAAGATGTTTCAAGTCTCAGAACGCAGAAATTTCATTTTCAAGTATGAACTTTGTTTAGATCATATTGCTTTACCTGTCACCATCCTCATTTGTGACCTTCTGGGTTGATCTTCAATAAGTGGATGATCAGAAAGAACTAAACAGTGAAGGAATTCCGAGTTCCTAGTTATATGAAATCTAGAAATAACCTTGCAACAAATAACAGATGATGTGGTGGTCCAACTATTACATAGGGGCAACTTGTTTGTTGTTAACCTGTCTTACCTTGATGCTGGTTGTTAGTCAGATCGCGTGGCTTATCTCATGTTAATCATAACCTATTCAAGTTCATAGCCAGTTTACTTAGAGAGGCATTCTTTATTTCACGTCTTGCATCAGTAATGCATATTAGGTTCCTCCTACTACTATGAAATATGAGATAATCTACCGTTTAAGTTGTACTTGCATTATTTTCTTCAGGATTCATTTTGTAATACGTCCACCCCAAGAGTTGAAACCATGTCTTTAGTAAGATCAGCGGAACCGGCTATTGCAGCATGTAGAAATACAAAGCAATATTCAGTTCAGGGTAGTGGTGACGGTTCTGGCTTGTCCACTCAAATGTTTGGCACTGATAAGCATAGGCCTGTATACGTCACTGATTCTTACAGCAGGGAGAGCTATGAGAAGTACTTTGATGACTCTCCTTCGGAAGATCTGACACATCCATCTAGTTCTGAGGTTTCGGGAAGTTCGTTTCCCCTGCAGGATGTCACTTCTGACCAGCTAAGAGGTACTTCATTTTTCTCCATAACTGCTCAAAAACCATTGAACTCTTATTTTTTCTTATTTCTTTTATCAGATTACTTGGAAGTCCAAAGTGCAGATACATTTGATGCCGATACAGATAAGATGAAACTGATGCTTCAAGAACTGGAGAGAGATCTGCTTGCTGATAATGATGTTGATGTAGAAGATATGTTTGGCGCTGGCCTGAACATGGAAATAGATGGTGAATGGTCCGGTCCTATAAGAACAGAATCGATTCATGAACCGCCCAAGGAGTCGTCATCCTTGGATTATAATCTCAGTCGCGTCAGCAGCCACATAGAGGCATCACATGTTTCATCTAGAACTCCTAAGCAAATGCTTATCGAGTGTGCTGGTATACTTGCAGAAGGCAACATTGAAGTAGCTTCAGCCATAATAAATGAACTTCGCCAGCTGGTGTCGGTTCAAGGAGATCCTCCTCAGAGAATCGCGGCATACATGGTTGAAGGTCTTGCTGCTCGTGTGGCTGCATCTGGAAAATATCTTTATAAAGCTTTAAAATGCAAAGAGCCCCCTTCTTCTGATAGGCTTGCAGCCATGCAAATCCTCTTTGAGGTGTGCCCTTGTTTTAAATTCGGGTTTATGGCAGCAAATGGTGCAATTATAGAGGCATTTGAAGATGAAAAGAGAGTACATATAATAGATTTTGATATAAGTCAAGGTAGCCAATATATTACACTAATTCAATCAATTGCTAAGTTGCCTGGTAAGCCACCTCACTTGAGGTTAACTGCGGTTGATGATCCCGAGTCAGTTCAACGTCTTAATGGAGGTCTTGAAATTATCGGACTAAGACTTGAGAAACTAGCTGAAGTACTTGGTGTGTCATTTGAGTTTCATGCTGTTGCCTCTAGGACTTCACTTGTTACTCCATCTATGGTTGATTGCCGACCCGGAGAAGCACTTGTAGTGAACTTTGCATTTCAGCTCCACCACATGCCTGATGAGAGTGTTTCAACCATAAATCAGCGAGACCAGCTTCTTCAGATGGTTAAGAGCTTAAATCCGAAACTTGTTACTGTCGTTGAGCAAGATGTGAACACAAACACCTCTCCCTTTTTCTCTAGGTTTATTGAAGCCTATAGTTATTACTCCACTGTATTTGAGTCCCTGGATGCTACACTTCCACGGGAGAGTCAGGACAGGATGAATGTTGAAAGGCAGTGCTTGGCACGAGATATAGTCAACATTGTTGCTTGTGAGGGAGAGGAAAGAATAGAGCGATACGAGGTTGCTGGAAAGTGGAGGGCAAGGATGATGATGGCCGGCTTCACTTCTTGTCCGATGAGTTCAAATGTGATCGATATGATCCGGAAGCTTATCAGGGAGTACTGTGACAGGTACAAGCTGGATGAGGATTTAGGCGCACTTCATTTTGGTTGGGAAGGCAAAACCTTGATTGTTGCTTCAGCATGGAGGTAAAATTATCGGGTTAATGTTACCGTTTTCCCATACATGGCCTTTTGATTTAGTTATGTATGGCATTGTAACTATAATTTTGTGTAGGATCCAGATGCAATTCTTTTTTGCTGATGTAAAATCTCAGGGACTAGTAGGGACTATGTCCAACACGAACTCATGATATTTACTCCCGTTTAAGTAACTTCTTTTTTAATGCGATTCATGTCCGTTTTACGGTTTATGTTACGGTTTAATCTGCTACTACCTAGAAAAGGCCAACAATGCCAACAAATGTACGTAAGGCCTACATTGTGCAAATGGTTAATCGATGAGAAATTTGTGGCCAACCAACCATGTAAAATTTCACTAAATAAAGTGTTATCCACTTCAATTTCTTATACTCTTCCCTGCACCTCACAATCACTAAGACACAAATTTTCTAAAACGAGCCCAAGGGGAAAATATCACACCCTTGAAGGTCCCATATCTTCAACATTTTTCATCCTTGCAAGACTTCTAAGGGAAGAGCTGAAGATGGCCCTGGAGAACTGTTTTCGGTTGAGCTCAGTTTGCAATACCAGAGCTGCTGTGATGCAAAGCAACCACTCTCATTTAACATCTGTTGAGAAGACTCATTTGCCGACATTTCAAGGGTTGAACAAACCCAATCTCTCATTCTCTTCATCTTTTACCCATTCATTCAATGGCAGATGCCAAAATCCCAGGCTCATCTGCAAAGCTCGTGAAGCTGTTGACCAAGGTATGAGGCTATTTCTCTTAATTAAAGCATTGCTCATCGTATAAGTTTATGTAAAGGTTTGTTTTGCAGTTGATGCGGTGACAGAAGCAAACTGGAACGAACTTGTGTTGGGGAGTAAAACTCCAGTTCTAGTGGAGTTTTGGGCACCATGGTGCGGACCCTGCCGCATGATTGAACCGGTGATTGCAAATTTAGGAAAAGAGTACTCTGGAAAGATAGCTTGTTACAAGCTCAACACCGATGAAAGCCCCAGCATCGCCACACAGTTTGGGATCAGGAGCATCCCCACCATGCTGTTTTTCAAGGATGGGGAGAAGAAAGAGAGCATCATCGGTGCAGTGCCCAAGTCTACCTTGGCTGCTAGCATTGACAAATATATTGATACTTGAAACAGATCAATGGTAAGGGAACTCTGTTCATACAATGCCAGTTTTTACATGTGATTCATTCAAATTGCCTATCTATGAACATCGCCTTTGTTTAGTTATGATGTAAATATTACTGGTGTAACAAATATCCTTTCACTTCATCATCCACAAATTTCAAAGCCAAAGCTCAATAACACACATATCTAATTATCTATAATCTGTAATCTGTAATCTATAAAGAATGGGTTTAGGTGATGCAAAGTATCTTATGTTGTTTGGGAACTAGCCTTTTTTAAATGTTGTTTGAGCATTTCCTGAAATACAGGAGCTGGCAGATTAACATCGAGGAAACCAGTTTCCAACAAAATAAGTAAAAACAAATTCAAACCCCAAATTTTCCAATATCACCAATATGCATAAGTGCAAAAAAGAGAATAGTTTTTCAGAAAATACGACTCTGTGGTCAGCTTAAATAAACTGAACAATTACAGGTGAATTTACTCCCCCTTCCAAAGCAGATATTGATCTTATTACCCTTACCAAAATAACAGATAAATTCTTGAAATCTTTGATACATGTCATTTGAAGGTTTATTGTTTGTTTTTTAGCACAACTATCTGATTATGAAGGATGAGTCTTTATTATTTGTTCATAAATTCTGACAATTTAAGAGAATACGAATTAAAATAATTCTTGATACCAATGTCATGGATTGACTTGACTGTCTTAAATAGTCTAAGCCCCATTTACATCACTGACTAATTGCATCTCCTCGGTGAGATATGTGTGTGTGTTTTTACCATTTAAGAATTCACTGCTTGATTAGAAAAATTCTTTAAAGGAACACAAAGATGTCGAATTATACTTTGAAGGACTTTGCACATTATTTGTGTTTCATTCTCTGTTTTATGACTTCACTTTTATGTCTTTATTTGCAAGGAATAAACTCTAATGACTTTCTATTAATAAAATAAAATTGACTTAGATATCTCGAAATTAAGAGACAATGTATTTTTTAGAGTTTCTCTTATAATCTTTTATTTTTATTAAATTTACGAGTATATAATATCTAATTCGTTTGAAATTATTTCTCTGATAGTATAGATGTAATTTCAAATAAGATAACCGACTTTTTACTTGTGTGAGTGTTAATAGAACTGATAACGTCATATTTAATACTTAAGAAGAACGACTCAAGCGATCTCAGTGGTAAATGAATTGTTGTTATTCTTTGATCTCGGGTTCAAGCATTATGAATGTCAAGAGTGTGAGCGACCAAAATCAAATGAAACTATCTTTGGACAGATATTACCTTATATAAAAAAATTTCGTAAGAAAGGGTTAGATACTATTAACAAATTGATCAAATAATTGAGAGTTATATTTGATAGTGGACTAATTGATTAGTGTTTAAAATATTTTGAATTATATTATTTGTTAATGTTTTCTTGTTACCAATGATTTTTGATATATTTGATGTTGAACGAATATCTGTGAATTTAACTGTAGTTATTCAATTTATTTAATTTGATAACAAACCGATGTGTTGTGCTTTTTGGAAAACAATTATCTATTCTACACTTAATGCATAATAGTCATAGTGAAATTTTTTAAGAGAACTGAATTGGTTTTTACTTATATTTTGCCGAGAACTGAATTATTTTATTTTAAAGTTCCAGTCCCTATATTTCAAGAAATATTAAAGGAAGCAATGAAAACTATTCCAAATGAAAATGTTAAGTTTCTATTCTCTGTGGGAAGTTTTGAGTAGGTGACACAGGCCGAATATTATACAGGAAACCTAAAATGAAGCATCACATAAGGAATGGAGCCAAATATGTTATGTACATATTTCTATCCACCATAGTCTCTCTCACTCTTTATCTACATTAGATTAGAGTGAATTTCCACTAAAACTTAACTATAAACATTAAATGAATAAGAAACAGATGCAAAGCTTTGTTGCAATAGTTACAAAAAGCATCCCATAGTTAGCCTACACTAACAAAAAAAAAACCATAATATAATGCTTTAGCTATTAGAACTGAACAAAAAGAAATTTCTATTTATTTACCTTGCTGAAAATGAAAAACGTAAGACAAAGAACATATGAAAACCCACCACTACAGTGACCAATAACGAGAACGTCACAGGATTGAATAAAAAAATAATACAAAGGCATCTCGTATGAAAAAAAAGATTCTGAAATTTGAAAACAATATTTTTGCATGTTTTATTAGACGATACATTTTGAGAAGAGAGTAATGAGACGTAGAAATGGAACACTGGAGACACTTTTACCCTTGTTACCAAAAGCTATACTATGTAGACTTCTACCTTTGTAGAGACGTTGACCGTTAATGGGACATTGTTATTTTTCACTATAAATCTTAACTGAACATTACAAAAACTTGATGTTAAAAATATCTTTTTACATGGAAACATCTTTTCAAAAGTAATGAGGTTTTATTTAAACTAAAACTTAAGATAGGAAAAATAATTAAAATTTTAATAAATTAAAAACAAATTGTCCACTTAGTTTACTGATTGCTTGAGGAATATTCGACCACTGAGGCAGCTACTTAAATAACGTTTTCATCTGTCCTACTTCCCGCTGCTTCCTTCAGCATTTCCTGAAATACAGGGAATTGAAGTTTAGAATAAAGGAACCCAGTTCTCATCGAAATATAAGTAAAAACCAATTCAACTCTCCCCAAATTTTCCACTATGGCCAATATGCTTAAGTGCAGAATAGATAGTTGTTTTTCAGTAAGCACCACACAATAATTTGTGGTCAGAACAAGAAAATGCCCATAAATAATGCAATTTAAAAGATTTCAAACATTAGTCAACTAATGCAGTGCCAAATATAGTAATGCTAAATTGTTATATATTAACTATATAAGATTTAACGTGAAATTACTAGATCTTCATAAGCTTTAGATATAATCAAACTACCTACCTGAACAAGATCCAACTTCTGCAAAGATAGAAACTTTCTTCCCTCATTCAAAGCTTCCTCATAGGCAAAGTTAAAGCCAACACTAAAAAAAAATCCCCACTTTCCCATAATCTCAATCAATTCAAATCAAATCAACACTCTCTCTCCATACATATAGACACATGTATACTTATATGTATTCATATAAAACTTAAGAAACCACAGTAGAAATCAAAATGCAGGATAATAAACTGATAACAAAAGGAAAGGAGTGAAAGCAATTAAAAAATAGAGATGGGGAAAAACATAAAAGTACCGAACCTTCTATCAAGCATAAAACATGATATCATCTACTACTGATCGGAAGGAAACATGGATTACCACCATGCGATGAACTTATCAGTTATATTAACACTCACATAAACAAGAAAATAAGCCATACCATCTGTAATTCCACCTATACTATCAAGAAAACAATCTCACAAATTTAGCATTGCATACCCATATAAATTTAATAAAAATCAAAGACTACAAGAGAGAATTCCAAAGAAGACGCCATGTCATTTAATTCCAAGATATCCGAGCTGATTTTATTTATTTCTAAGCCAACCCTATTTTATCAATAGAAAGCCATTAGAGTTTTTTCCTTACAAACAAAGACACAAAAGCAAAGTAATAGAACAGAGACTGAAACTCGAAGAATGTACAAATTCATCCAAAGAAAAGGGTAAAAAGACCAAGTTTGATGACTTAACATCATTGTGCTCCTCTAAAGATTATTTAGAATCAAAAAGTGAAATCCTAATTTACAAAATAAGAACATGTCTCTTTAAACAGAGGTCAATTAGTGATGATGCAAATGACATCAAAAAATAATCCAATTTGCGTGTTTGTCTCCGACAAAGAGAATTTATGAACAAAGAACAAAGACACATCCCTCATAATCAAATAGCTGTGCTAAATGTCAAAGAAGAAGCCAATAAAATGACACAGATACAAAATATCATGTATCTATCATTTTGTAAGAGATACAAGATCCATACCCGTCTCGGTTGGAGGAGCCTTTTCCCTACAAAACTGGACCTCCGGATCACCTAGAGATTCCGTAACTATTGCTTCAAAAATCTTAGTGCTGTTTTCAGACGTCCTTCCCTCTATGGTTAAATAATAATTTATAAAACAACCTAAGACTTGATCATTTGCCTTTATCAGTCTCACAAACTCATAATTTGTTTTCTGAAAAAAAATCCAATAATTATAGTTATTTTCCTAGTTCACGATGAAAAAATATATATATGGAGAAAAATAAAATCCAAACTAACCTTGTCTTGGTTGTAATGATTCATAGCAGCAACGCAAAATGGCTCCAGTGTTGTACGATAATAATCACACATGCGAAGAGGAACAATTCCACCACCATAATAGAAATCTCCTCCAGTTAAACGAGGAACATCAAATCCCTAAAGTAAATCAAATGGGGGAAATTGTGAACACAAAAATAAGATAATAAAAGCCAAAATCTAGCGAGAAAACACAGGTAACGAAGATTACATCGCTGGCCTTCACAGCATCCGAGTAGCGTTTATACTCTTCGTCAGTTATTAGGGATTCATCATCGGTATCGGACTCGCTTTTCACCGAATAATTACACTTATTCTCAGTCAATCCTTCTAATTTCTCCGTCCTCAACTCTTTACTGTTATTCGAAGATGATTGATCCAAAGGAGAGGAGGAAGAAGATGTGCTTCCCGACATATTACAGAAAAGGGCAAGGGAAAAATTTGGAGAGAAAGTAACAAAGGACGGCACTACTCGGTCTAGGGTAAAATGTTATTCACAAAAAAAAAAAAAGTCTAGGGTAAAATATATTTAAAGGTAGGTTTTTATTTGAGTAAAGTATATAAATGGTAATTGAAGTATGATTAAGTTTCTGTTTTAAGCATTTAATTTTTAAAAATAATAAAATAATTACTGATATTATTGTTTCGTAATATATCGGTCACTTGATTTCAACAGTTGTTGAAGAATAATGTGACATGTTTGGACAATTCATCTAGCATCCTTCCACCGTGCAAGACAAGAGTTGACTGACTTTTAACTCTAATAAAATATATCCTCTTTAAAAAGGGGCGAATTTCTTGAAATATCACTCTTAAAAACATTATTTCTCTGTCAGACACCATTTCGACTTTATTTCTCGATCTAACACCCTTTGCAGGAAGGCGCGACCCATGCACCACTTCTTACGCTGATGTGGCGCCACGTGTGGTAAGAAGCGACTCATGAACCGCGCCTTATGTAGATATGGCGACACGCTGGGTAAGACGCGATGCATGGACCGCGCCTTATGCCACGTAAGGGTATAACGCGGTGCATGGGCCGCAAATTTCTAGTAGTCGGACGCGTGTCAGGAAGATGCGGTGCAAGGGCTGCGCTTTCCATTAATTTCCCAACCCCCCGACCGTTCACACTCCCATCACACCCCTATATATAAATTCATTCTCAATCATTTTCATCCTCTCAAATCCTCTCAACTTCTCCCCCCCGACCGTTCACACTCCCATCACACCCCTATATATAAATTCATTCTCAATCATTTTCATCCTCTCAAATCCTCTCAACTTCTCTCAAATCCTCTCAACTTAAGGTATATTTTATTATATTTATTACTTTATTAGTATTTTATTTAATTATTTAATTATTTTATTAAATTATTTTTTACAATTATAAAATGGAAGGTGATCTTCTTCGTTTGGATAAAAATCATATATCGAGTCGTTATGCTGATACGATAATATTTTTACATTTTAATTTAATTTAAATTATTAGTAATAATTTATTTAATTAATGCATGATTATTAGTTTATAAATTAATTTTGTTATTATTAATATTTTAGGAGAGCGACCGTATATTAGATCATTTTATTAGGAACCTTAAGTTAGCGATACCTACCCGTGTCTGGCCGTATTTAGTCGAGGTTGGATTAGGTCACATAGCTAGATATGAAGGTCGTTGTAAGATATAACCAAACATTATTTCTGCATTAGTGGAGTGGAGGCCGGAGACCCACACATTCCATCTTCCGTGCGGAGAGTGCACGATTACACTTGATGATGTTTATATGCACTTGGGGCTTTCTGTGGATGGAGATGTGATTTCAGGGATGACACACGGTAATTGGACTACTTCGTGCCAGGATTATCTAGGAGGTGTCCCGCGAAATTTTAACGGTGGTCGGATACTGTTAAATTGGTTAGATACAAATCTTCAGAATTTGAGTGAGGACGCCTCAGAGGATCAAGTTAAAATGTATGCACGTGCATGCATACTGCAACTGATAGGAGGGTTGCTGATGCCGGACAAATCGCGCAACCAAGTTCACTGTATGTGGTTGCGACATCTTGGCGACTTTCATCTGGCCGGATCACTGAGTTGGGGCTCAACAGTTTTGGCATTCCTGTATAGGGAGATGTGTCGAGCGACTGACTACAGAAAAAATACTATCGGCGGATATCTTCTTCTACTGTAGTCTTGGGCATGATATCACTTACCCTTTTTATGTTCTGTTGTGAAGAACTCGTTCGTATTTCCGTTACTATTGAGGTAATTACAAAACTGATTTCGTATATTAATCATTTTATCCAGTGTATAATAATTTTTTTTCTTGAATAGGTGGTCTATTGACAGGAAAAATCATCGGGATCTACATGATGAATTAGAAATAATCAAGTTGCTAATCGATCAGAAGGATGGTACAGAGGTATGCATTTTAATGTTTAAAAATCGATTTTGTATTATAGTTATATAATTAGATTATTATTTTGATCAGAATTATATATATTTGTTTTAGTTTGAATGGGTACTTGATAACAAAAGAAGTGGACATGTTCTTCTAGTGTGTCCTTAGTTTATACAATGCCCATATTTTTTATCGTGTCTAGATGTTTCTCGAATATCCATATCACAATGAATTCGAGTGGATTTTGGACGACCATGCTCCCTCAATAAAGTCTGATCTGGTACAATCAGAACCCAATTATGAACCTCATCAGGGTCTTTGTCATTACCTATAGGGGGAACTCAAATTCGTAAACCTTAAACACTTCTGATAGTAGGTATACAGGATCCACAAAACGGTTATAGTCTTGATAGGTATGCGAGCAAACTGCTATCACATGAGAGCATGGATACTTCAGAGCTTGAAAAAACCCACAGTCGCACCATATGTCCCGTAGATTTACTCTTAATGACACAGCTTCAATCCCTTGAAGAGGTCGCGACAACTCTGTGACACGAAACAATTCATGCATTCTAGAGAAGCTTGTTACAGACATTCCATTTAATGCGACAATTTTTTTGTAGATCTGTAACTAATCTAGGGTGATAGACATTACCACCTTGCATCCATGTTTGAGTTTGTCCCCCAAGCTTCGTAAAAAGTGCCCCCAAATGAAAATATATAGTTTTTACCAAAGCCGCTACATGTAAGTGATGTGCACCCTTTAAGGTCGAATTGATTGCCTCAGCCAAGTTGGTCGTCATGTGTCCATATCGATATCCACCATCATATGTGTTTGTCCATATTTCTTTATCGATGAGGCTGATGTAATCATATCCTTCCTCATTCTTCGCCCGTAAATCTTAAAGCATGGATTCAAATGTTTGTGGTAGTAGTTCGTAACCTGAGCATAAAATGTATAACTTACTAACTTTGTTTCTTTAAAAAATGAAAATGGTCGAAAGAAAAAAAAAACTACATCAGTTTCACTTACCCATGCGCACAAGTAATTGACGTTCATCATTCTTCTTGTACCTTCCATGGTAGTTCGCAACAATGTTTCGGATACAATACCTATGTTGGACAAAGGGTGGTTGCCACATTTGACCCAAAGACTCCATTGCTGCTTTGATCCTAGCTCCGCGATCTAAAATGACACAGACTTTTTCCCTCGTGATAACATGTGAACGTAAGTTTCGGAGGAAAAAAGCCAAAGAATTTGTATCTTCTCCTTCAACAAGAGCAAAAGCAACTGGAAGAATGTTGCGATTACCATATTGGACAACTGCCAATAGTAAAACTTCCTTGTATTTTCCATACAAGAAAGTACCGGCGATCTGGACCACAGGCTTGTAGTATTTGACAGCATTAACGTACTGTAGGTAAGTCCAAAAAACCTGGTAGAATTGACATCGATCGCAAAGAACTCGATCATTATGGTATGCATGGGAGGTTTCGAAGTTCACAATTATCCCAGGATTCAACCTCCGCACCACCCTAAACCAACTTGGAAGTTCGTTGTAAGATGCATCTCATTCACCATGAAGTTTGACAATGTCATTCTGTTTTACCAACCAAGCTTTTTTTTATATGAGACAGTGTACTTATATTGTGATTGTATAGAAGAAATCAACATTGCAATAGCTATATGGGAGTTTGCTTTTACCATGGGCATGATGGCTTGGTATATCACTTCAGAGTCCAAGTTGGGATGATCTTGGTTGATCCCTCCAGTACAACATGTGTGAGGACCGTTGTATATCGTTAGTTCCCATCTATTATTTTTCCTCTTCCTCTTCGATACGTGAACCATTCAATTGCATCCGTTTTCATGTCGAGCACAGTGGCATACATATTTTTCTGTCGTAGAGGGGTCGACTCTAGATTAAAACGAATTATGGATATTGTAATTTTTTATAACCATCTTCACTTCTACTTTGCTTAAAAACCCTATGCCTAAAGATAACTCACCATTATTTATTGATGAGTAAAATCCATAGCCAGCGAGATGAGGTATATCCAGAAATTCTGACCCGTACATTGCACCATAGTCAGCTTCATACCTGTGTGCTGGAAGTTCAGCTTGTGTTACTTTTAAGGGAACTTCATCTACATCATCATCATCATCGGAGTTGAACTGCGGTGAATTTGGGTGAATGAATACTCTAGTCTCAGCACCATCTGCACCTGGTTCACGAAGCGGTTCTTCTGGTGGAGATGATGGTTCCTCTATGCTCTCCACATTTAGGTCGAAGAACCTACTACTTGCATGCCTTCCATTTGAACTAAAAGGCATATCGACATTGAGATAAAAAAAAGCTCGCAGTCGAGCCCCTGGAGCTTGAAGTTATCGTGTCAAATGGAAACTGCACAGATTGTTACGTCGAGGGCATGTCTATATTAAGGTCAAAAGAAATTGGCAGATGAATGCCTTCCCCTTGAACTAGACGCGATGTTGCCATACGGATTGTTCGTAGACCAACCTCGGTACATATCGTAAAGAGTTGCTGATGAATGTCTCCCCATTGAAGTTGATGAGACGACACCATGATGCGGATTTCCCATTATGGCATTAAAATCATTATACATTACTGTAGTCGGGTTGTCAACTTGATCAGCTAGCCCATAGTGAGAGCTTAATGAAAGATCCCGAATAGCACGTACTTCAACAAACTTTACATACATCTCCGTAACGGCGTCTGAATAATTATTTTGAGAATCAACCATCATTTCAACATCATCATTGTTCGATAGTTCGAACGCTGTGTAAGTTAATAGCAACAATAATGTTCAAAATATGTACTAAAGCGACGACATTCTTCTAGTACTTCCAACATGAACATTCCTTGAAATCTTCGTTATCAACTCCTCAAGAGTTATGTTTCTCTTGAATGATATTTTAACATAATGATTTGATATGAAAACAACGCCAGTTTCATCTTCCCGAATTTCTCCATCATAATAAACAATAGCTGAAATTCGCGCTATTCTTAGAGTTTGAAAGTGAGACAATCTTATATTTGCAAAAAATAAACCTGAAACA